ACCATTGCCTGGCTGGAAAACAACCAGCTGGCAGAGAAGGAGGAGTACGAGCACCAGCTGAAAGAGCTGGAGAAAGTGTGCAACCCCATCATCACCAAGCTGTACCAGGGAGGGATGCCAGGAGGCATGCCAGCAGGAGGCTGTGGTAGCCAAGCACGGGCAGGCTCAGGGAATGCCTCTCAGGGGCCCACCATTGAGGAGGTGGATTAAAAGAACTGATACAGGCAAAGTTGTATGAAGGTTGTAAACATGAATGTGATGACAAGGCCTGGTGCTAAGAACTTTCAAAGAAAGTTGTGCAAACATTGCTGAAGAAACATTCGTTCCATAACTGTAGCAATTAGTTGTTATAGAAATTGTGGATTCATTCGTGATCTTCAAATGTTGTCGTCTCTTAAATCTGTGTACTTTATTTCCTTTTTGTGTACAGATGTATGTTTTTGTATTATATTTTAAATGTTTCTCATTTGTAAATCCAAGCACAGCATTTCATTTTTCCTAAAATAAAACAATTAACAGAACCTTCAGTGTGGGTTGTTTCCTGCAGCATACAACCTTTGGAAGTGATGGTAGGGTGGAATGGGGGTCACTGGATTAGACCTAAATACGCTCTGCAACAGAACTTGTGTTGCCCTCCATGCAATTCCTGCATTCAGGTAAAATATATTTCACAATTATGCATTGTGGTGTACAGGGTTTCATTCGTCTGACCAGAGAACATGCCCTCCACATGTGTCTGCAGTGAAAAGATTTATATTGTATTATTTTGTGGGATGACCGCTCTTTGAAAGCTGCCTTATGTGGATTATAGTTATCCTGATGTAGACATGGTCAAATTGACCTGTTATAGTACCTTACAACAAAAGGGGTCAGTAGTGAAGAAACAAATGTTGCTGTTCTGCTTTTTAGGTAGGGAATTAAATGGACTTTTTTTACAGCTGGGTCTGAGGTTAAGCTCTAAAGTATTAAGTAAACGTTTTTTACTCATATCCAGCACAATCTTTTTAAATTACAAAAGGTCCATGATGTATTATAGTGTTTGGTGGTCAGCACAAAAGAAATACTGTAAAGCATCAAGGTTATGTAGCCTATAACCAAGTGTCAGAAAGAATGTAGGAGAACCTTATTTTCCCATGTGCCAATTGTTTTAAAAAATCCCACTAAAATGTCACATTAACCCAATTACGACGTTTAACCCCAAATAGGAAAAGAATACTACTGGCATCACCTACTGTAATTAGTTCACCTTCCAGTGCAATGGAATTGTCTCTTTCTGACCAACACTACTACTATCTCCATTCTCTAACATGGCCCCCTCTATTTTAAAATAACCATAAAGCATCCTGCCACAGATGCCCATTGGACCTTTAATCTTAGTAAATCCAGTAAGGACAACATCTGGAAATAAATGCAGTTCTGAATATCTCCAACTCATCAGATATTACTGCTCTCACTACCTCACAAGTAAGGAAAGGGGCTCAGGCTTGTGCTGTCTGATCTGTCTGTGCTGTTAAATCTAGAATAAGAAAACAGCTCACAACACAGTGCTCTCATATGATGGTGCCAGTGTTACGCCAGGTTTATTTTGTAATGAAACCAATAAAACCAGCAACCTTGCTAAGGAACGTCTTTGCTTCAGCTGCAAGCATGAAAGTCTTGCTAAAGAGACACAAATCTAATTGGCCCTTCATTACAGCTGCTATCTGATTCGGAAAAGAAACAAAGAATCTTATTACTCTGCCCAATGGCGGGCAAACAAAATCTGACATTCTCAAGAGTGCTAAAACATTACATTTGCTGGTTGGCAATATTCTCTTAAAAGACAGATTATAACTTAAACTGCGCATTAAAAAAATAATTTTAAAATGGTTGTGATAATGAAACATCAGAATTGAACGAGATGTTTCTTGATATAGATCTATCACAGTTCAGTTATACATGCAAAGAGGTAAAAATCAGACAAAAGCAAATAAACATAATAGCAAATCACCATTGTATTTGCGAGGTTTATACTTTCTGTGAAGTATCATTTCTCATACTTACATTTAACAGCAGCAAAAAAATATCTATTATTTCTCTGGTTCCACTTAAAAACACTCACCAATAAAATGAGGTAATTGGATACAGGAGAGAAAAATGGTTTAGCCTTGGTAAAACCAGTCCCCTGTACTTGAAAGTAATAATGGCAAAATGTGAAAGTCAGCACCTGATCTGCCACACAGACCAGGCCTACAGTTAGTTACCATTTTTGGCATTTAAGTCATTATAAGGCAAAATCCCCACCAAGCAGCAAAGTGCCTTGCGGTTTATCTAATGGACACAGACTCAACAAGACCCAGACTGTTCAAATCCTGTTACCCAGGGCTCAGAGACATCTGTCCAGCACAGGGGCGGACAAGCTATGACTGAAAAATTCTTCTCAGGGTCCTGAAATCGGGAGCCTGCAAGACTCTTCACCGTACCAAGCTAGACATGATCCTGGCAGAGTCTTCCTCAGTGTACGATCTCCCGCTCATCACCCTCCTCTTCTCCTTCACTGTGGTGCAGGAGGGGCAGCTCCAGTTCAGGAGCCCCACCTTTACTGGTCTGCAGTCGGCTCTGGGAGACCTTTCCTGCAAGACACAGGCTGTTAACATTACCGAGGCAATGCTGGAAAAGCCAACCTGCCCTAAGAATCAAACCACAGGAGACAGCAGAACCCACATTTAGGATGTCCGTATTCTTGAAAGAAAAGGACAAAAAGATTGAATTCTGCAGTGAGTTTGCAGCCAAAATTCTCAAGACAGTAGAAGGGGTCAACAGCAAAAAATTAAAAATAAATCAAGAGTGGAATTTATTGATTTTGACCGATCCTTTTTTGCTCTAAACAGCACCCTGTTCAGCACCCTATTCAGGCCAGATGGAGATCATAGGAGCTTGTTATTCCTTAAGTGTTTACGGACTTTACATTCTTGATTTCTGTATTGAAGAGGAAAAAGAAAGGTTGTTTGGTATTCTGCAGCTTTGACAGCCATTTTATACAAGAAATATTAATCCTACATACTCAAATCAAGAGAAATCCCTTACCCTTGGAGTAATAGGTCTTGAGCCCCACATGAAGAGAGATGCCCGAGAGACAGACGGCAAAGCCCAACCAGTTAACAAGACTCATCCTGTCTCCCATGAGTGCTGCAGCCAGCAGCAGTGTGCACACTTCCTGTGGACAAAGGAGAGAAAGGTGAACACAGCAGACATTCTGAATATTAAAGAACAAGTAGTAAGGTTGAAGAAAACAAGCAATGGTTTGTTCCGATCTATAATACCTATATTGACCTAATACTGTTAAAGAAATATCCACAAATATGCACACCACTCTCTGGAGCCATCCTATGAGTCGTTCAAAGTTATGGATAAAATATCCCATTAACACTGGCATGTTTAGAATTTAATCCACACACCGTGTACAAAGAATCTGTGGAACTCAACATATTTCATTCTTAATAGTGTTACACTAATGTTACACTACTTAAATAGTGTTATCCCGGTATCCTAGCCACATTTCTTATTGGCCTTTACCAATCATGGCCTCCTAATAATCGATATCTATAAATTGGCTTTATCACTCTGCTCTCCTCCTCATTGATAGCTGATGTGTGGTGAGTGATGTTATCCAGGTTGGGCTGCACATTGGTGGTGGTGGAGGGGAGCCCCCATTACCTGTAAAGCATTTTCTTTAGGTGGAGTGTCCAGAAAAGAGCTATATAAGTGTAAGGAATTATTATTACATGTTCTTTCCATATTTGGACAGTTTATTTCTCGGTTGTCTGTATGCATCTGACACCCACAGAAATTGCACTGACTGGCTAAGATACTGGAATGTGCTCAAGCAACACGTGTGTTGTACAGTATTGTGGTGCCTGTTGCTGTGCCCACACAATGTTCCTCCCACTCAGTTCGGAGTGTGTGAGAGACACTGGTCATTGGCTCACCTTGAAGATGCCGGCTATGGAGAGGGTGAGGCTGGAGGTTTTGGAAACGAGCAGAAACTCGGAGAAGCCCAGCCCAAAAGCCAGGCACCCTCCTACAGACAAGGTCAGTAAGGAGTAGAGCAGGGGGGGCAGTTCACTGACCCGGAACAGCTTGTCAGACACACACAGACTCAGCCCTGGAGAAACATTCATTCACAAATCAACTGCAGATCAAACCTGATCGTAAATACTTCATACAGTGATATGAAAATAAAAAAACTTTCTTCATAATCCTACTAATCTCATAAACACACCCGGTGATATCGCACAGGGAGGTGATAAAATGTAACAATTATCTCTAGGGAAAAAAAAGTGTATGAACAGAAGCAACAGCAGATCTTAGATAGCAACTAACATTTTAACAAGCCTTTTCTGTTTTTAGAGATACCTGCCAAACATCAAACAAATTAAAGGAGAAAGGAGAACAGTGATATTAATAGAACTGTGTTAATCCATCAAATTATTAAAGGACTAGTTCAGTTCACTGATATGAAAGAAAGAGTACAGAGTACACAGATATGATCCTTCCTCCCTTCAGAACCAGTGCTTTACTACTCCACAGGAGGGCACCATCTTACCTTCATTGTAGAGGAAGAGTGGAAAGAGTCCGATAAGCATGAGGGGCTGCAGATGGTACATGGTGTCCACTGGGTTCTGCAATCCTGCAAAACAACAGCCCCCTTACACAACAGACTAGTAAGCAGAGCTGTTTGTACTGGGGAAGTTAAATAAACACATTCTGATTTTGACTATTCAGTGAAGTGCTCTTCTGTGTCTCAGTGGGACAACGCAGTAGTGCAACAGCACACTGTGTCTATGACAGCACCTTCAGGATTAGCGTAGCATTTCTGGGCTCAGTAACTCACCCAGCTCTGCCTTCTGCATGAGGATCTGCGTGAGGGTCCAGCGGATTCCTCCAATGAATGAAGCCAACAAAACCAGCACGAAGCCTTCCATGTTAAACTGGGTTGACTCGTAAGTGAACATGAAGAGACCGCTGGCAATCAGGAGCACTACTACAATCAGGAATGGGTTCTGCAGGCAGTGACAGGGTCAGAACCACAGGCAATGAAGACAAGTATGGCTTGATCACAAACGCATCCAAACCGCCCAGTACTTTGCTCTTTTACATCCATGAGCATGTAGCAGTTGTGAAGTAAGGTTGTACAGCTTCTTTCTTGGAAGCAATCAATGATGTTCTATTAATTTTTTCTTAAATCTGTATCTTCCTTTACCTCATTATGAGCTTAATCTGTGCACTTTTAGTTTATCTCCTAATAAACAAATACCTATACACACTAAAGAACACAAGGGACTAATGCATTTTTAAAGGTTGGCACAATTTCTATTTTTTTACATTAATATATTCATGTTCTAAAGAGGACACACTGCAATACTGCAGGCATGCGATTAAAATGATCAAACTAAACTATAACAGTTTGTGAAGTAGCTACTCAACATCAGGTTTAAAATTATCTGTTAAGTAAGAATTCCCTATGCTTAAATCCTTCCCAAACAAAGAAACATACACACAGTCTTGACTATTGCAAGTGTTCATTATACTAATAGTTTGGTGCACTGTCACAGCCTCCATATTTTTTCCTGAGGGCAAACATACCGGCTCCTCTAGTCTGAAGACAAGTGAGAAGAAGAGGATAAACAAAACAGCTGAAGACTTGGTCATTGTGTACCTGAAATGAAGGAAAAGGAAATGGACATCAATTATTTCCAACACGGCATTACCACACCTGTCACTTTAACAACACTTATCAAATCAGCAGGTTTCGTAATAAATAAATAAATAATTTGTCCCCCTTCCCCAAAATAGTTCCCCGAGACGAATTATGAATTATTTCATTTTTGAGGGACAAGGACTCTGTCCACTGCTAAATGGGAAAACAAAGAGCCCATCCTCACAGCTTTAAAGACTGTTGACTTCAGTGCTCTGTGCAGGTTTTCCAAGCCAACTCCCACATTACAGGAAACCTCTCACACACCTGCTAGTCACAGGTGGCCACATTGGTTACATCTGTGGCAGCTTTGACGCTTCAGAGAAAGAGAAACTGCCACTGGCACGTTTGGAATTTGAGCACTACTGTATGTGTAACACAAGTTTTCCTCACTATTTCCAACAACTGGCAAAGAGCAGGCAGTGTGGATCTCAGGATTAAGACTTGGAACACAACTTCAGCTGAGTGCAGTCAAAATTCATTGTCTAGCTGGAAAAGGGTTAAAATACACTCATTAAATGCTGAATGCTGACTTGTACTGACACGTATAAGACTGGGAGGGTCACACCTATTTTCAAGCAGATAAACAAAAATAAAACTAATGTGCATGAGGAAATTAAACCACTTATCACAGTCTAAAGGGCAGCAGGGATGTTATAGTTGAAAAAAACAACCATATATTTACACTATAGCAGCTAAAATGATTTAAATTGTGTTGTTTTTTTTTAAATCACGGTGTATTCAGCCTTATTTGTTTTTAACTTAAAATAACAATTCAGGGTTTAACCTCAGGGAGTCGAATCCACAGGTGAGTGAGAAGGACTGAAGACCAATGAAGGTGTTCAGATCTCAATGCCAGGCAAGTATGCAGCAGAAACATCTGCATTCTCCACAAAAGAGCAACGAGACATGCTGAACAACACATCACACTGGTGGAGAGACCCCTAAATGACTGATTTCAGGAAAAACACCCACACTCCCACCCTAACCTACATCGGGGGAGATTCAGTGGAGCTAGTAGAACGGTACAAGTACTTGGGGATTGTTATGGACTCCAAGTTAAATTCTGAATCCGATGTTGACTTGATCCTCAAAAAAGGACAACAGTATATTTTGTTCTTAAGGAAGCTGAAGTATTCTAAGGTCGATAATTCATTGTTGATTTTGTTCCATCGGTCCTTCCTTGAATCCGTTACGTTTACCCTGATCTGCTGGTTTGGCAACCTGAATCTGAGAGGCAAGAACAAGCTGGGCAGCCTCATGAAAATATGTCAGAAGGTTGTTGGTGCTGATCTTCCAGCCCTCTCCTCCATCTATTGTACACGTGTTTTGCATAAAGCAAATTCCATCTGCGACGATCCTCCACACCCCTTGTTTTAGCATTTCCAGTTACTCCCATCAGAACGCAGATACCGACTCCCCAACTCCAAACTCACCAGATTTAAGTTCTCATTCAAACCTGTAGCCATATTATTTCTTCTATCCATCTGTATACCAACACTGCTGCTGTAAATCAACTTGCCCTCCGGGGATAATGAAGACTCTCTCTCTTAAATTGTGCCTGTATGCCATGTTCTCTCTCAGACACATTTGCATTCAGGTCTTTATATTCTCACCAACTCATATTGTGTTCTTAATTACTATTCCAGATTCCACCCAGCTGGAAAAATAGATATTGGGGTGAAAACTGACCCTAAACAAGTAACTTTGGAATGTCCAGTTTTAAGTGTGTCACATGTTACTACTACCCCAGCTCAGCCCCCCAGACTTACAGGCTGATGGTGATGAACAGAAAGCTCCAGTTGGACAGGCCAATATCCAGGGCCGTGGCCACAGCTAAGACAAAAAAAAAAAACAACAAAAGAAAATGATATCCTCATCATATCCTCACTTCTGTTCTTCCACTAGCTCAAGCCATTCCAGACTGCCAATTGAAAAATTAGTAAATTACAAAAAATGGCACAATTACGAATACAAACCAAGTACAATTTTATGCACCCACTAAATTCACATATGATGTATCAAATGTAACAGATTAATTAAAAAAAGCATCTAGCTTCAACAGATGTACTTAATTCATTAAAGCATCAGTATAGCTAAAAAAGATTTCACTATTGTATAACCATATGGATCTAGTTCACGATTCAATAAATAAGGATAGTCAGGCAGCCCTCTTACTGCTCAGTAAAGTATCCTAGATAAAGTGTTTCTCGGAGCAGTCCAGTGGGAAAGAAGGCCAAAGTCCTCAGAGAACAATGCCATCCAGATCTGGACTTTACCCAATGTTTGATAACTCCCGAACAGCCTGCACAACACGTCTTAGAGACGAGCAGCTGCACTCTGCTGAACAAACTCTGGGCTAAAGAGGAGCTGCATCCGAGCAGTGTGGCACTCATTCCCTTGTCAAGCTTCTACTGGACTGGCTTTTCCCCAAGTCTGAAGGTCTCTGGGAATGCAGGAGCCAGGCAATAACAGAGAACCCTTAAATCAAATTTATATTGACACAGAAACACCTTTCAGCATCTTCTGAAAGCAAACTGTTTCTATTATGAACGTGAACGTTAACGAGAGAGCCATCACACATCATGAATGCGTTGATCTATCTCCTCTCACCTGTGGGAGCCACCTTGGTGAGGTACTGTGTCCAGGACAGCAGCACGCGGGGCTTGCCTGTCCAGCCCTGCATGGCGGAGCGAGTCAGAGCCGACAGGCAGAAGATCATGACGAGGTGCACCAGCGTCATGAAGAGGGGGAAGTGGAAGCCCTGCCAAGAGAGAGGAACACAGACGTGAGCCCCGGGCAGCCCTGCAGCGTGCCATCGCAGAGGAGGCTGAGCAGGCAGGCCAGGGTATGGAGAAGCCCGTGTACACAGTATTTACCTCTGTTACTCAGCACCTTCACAGATGTAACTGACTGCCAGCAAACAGGTCAACAGCAAAGAACAGAAAGACTAAAATGTGCTTGTCAGCTTATGACCTGGGCAGATACACAACTGCAACTAACGGTGACTAATTCTATAGTCACTTTAAATTCAAACGAAATTGTCATACTAAATCAATACTAGCATCACGGGATGCCCTGTGTCTTCCTTTGTACAGTTTTGGGAACCTAGCTTATCAATCACAGGAGCGATAGAAAAGTATTTAGTCATGGATTTCTTCTTCTTGTGAAACTGCTGAAAAACAGGTACACCACTGTACGTGAGCCTCATCTTTAAACATTGAACGGAACAGACTTACACCTACGGTTGCCTTACTGTTACTGTTATTGCTGGTCGACTGTTGAATCTTAAAGCATAAAACCCTCAAAAGCTTTTACCCTGTGCTTACATCAAATATATTTGAATTTGGAATTACACAGCAAAATGCGGGGAAAATGTATCATTTGAAGGGAAGGAGAAACAGACTGCGTTTCTGTGTCAGTGCACACGGGCATGAGTGTAAAGAGGACGTCACACAAGCCACAGCTCACAGAGAGAAACACTTATGAAGAGAGTCCTGTTGCTGGCCATGTGTGAGCATCACTATATCATTTCTTGTAAACATCTCATTTAAATGCAACATTATCTAATTTAAACACAAGCAGTATCTTGTTTCAATGCAATTTTGTCTCATTTTAATGCAAAACATTTGACTGCTAATAAGCTTCTGCACATCTCAGGAGGCGGTTCACTCGCAAGCCGAGATCCACTTGGCAGGAGAGGAATAATTCAGCACTGCCCAGCCTGGCCGATCTTGTTTTTAGGTGGGTAGCTGCGTCAGCATGCGTAGGCTGCAAAGGAACAAGTAATAGGTTTATTCCATGCTGGAAAAAAAAGAAGAAAAGAGAACACAACGTGTCACACCTGAAGAAGGCTCCATGGCCGAAACGTTGTGATCTCTTTCTTCTTTTTTTTCAGCATGGAATAAACCTATTACTTGATCGTGTTTTCAGGCTGGGAGACGTCTATTGAGTACACGCTATTGGGGGGGGGCGCCCCGCGTTCACTCAGCCTCCTACCTTCATGAGCCACTTGTTGTAGAAGGTGATGCCGATGGAGAAGGCGTAGTAGAAGAGAACGAGGCCCACTGTGCGGGCAGCCCTCAGCAGGAGCTGCAGGGGCAGGGCCATGGCCGCCGCCGCGCGTTAGGAGCCGCGCCGGGAGAGGAAGGCCATGGCGTCTCGTCCGGTGCGCTCGTCTCCTCCTCACCCGGCTGCCGCTGAAGGACAGGTCATGAGGGCATCAGGAAAGGGAATATGCGCCGCAGAGTCACTCTGCCCCTACTCGAGCCCAGAGTAGGGGAACACCATCCGCTAATCGCAATAAAGCCCAATCCCAACCATCCCAGCCACAAACTGTGCGCTGGTCAGCGGTACCGCACTGTCAAAGCAAGGACCGCTGGACTCAAGACCAGCTTCTACCCCACTGCAGTGTGCATCCTCAACAACAGCTAACGCCAGGGCCCCAGACTCAATACACTTCTGCATTCAGCACTTCTTACATAGTCTACCCCCCTTTTTTTTTCCTATCTCACTACTACATATTTATTTTTCCACAATAGATTTATTGTTCCTGTTGTCTACACTGTGTAGTGTTGTCTGTTGTACTGTGTATGTCCCGAGAGATCAGCGCGTACGTGTACATACAGTATGGCACTTTACTGTCTATCGGGACCAGAAAGCCAGGGCTTTAAAGAGTGACCTCCTAAGGAGGGTTTCAGAAGAGAGGAAGGGAAGAATTTCTGTGAGAAGCCGCATTAGTCCGCCCCAGACTGATGAGTAATGACGGCAGAGAGACTTTCAATCCGGAATCGAGAGGGACATGGCCCGTTTGTCTCCCTAGGAGCAGGACGTGAAGAGTGGCCTACGATAGAGCAGTACGTGCTACATTACTACTCTGAAACCATTCAGGACATAAAGGGAGCAGGTGGAAAAAAAAACAGCACTGCGGTCTGGCTTTACTTGTGCAAACCGAGCTCTTATTTACACGTGATACAGTGCTAAACTCACGATAGCGGACACTTTATCGGCCCGCTGTAAAAGTCCGAAGTGAATGACAATTCACCAGTGTCGGATAATAATTGACCGATGCTGTTCACTCACAGTTATTTTTATCACCCTAACCTATAGCATCCTTATTTGTCCCATAAAGTAATTAAAACTAGTGAACTTAAGCTGTAGTCCGGTTTCCACATTACAAGTCACACTGCCAGCAGGCAGATACAGGGACATTTCGGACACTGAGTAGTTCTTTCATGAGTAGAAAACGCTAAGTTTAAAAAATGACCACAGTCTTATCAAGGAACATAAAACGTATGCTACCATACTGCTAATATAAAAAAATCGCTGTGCACCAATATTTACCTGTTGTAGAGGTGGGGCAAATTAATGCAAGTACTTACTGCAGCAGCTGTTTCCTTTCGTGATACCCCGTTAGGCCGTACAACCGATTAAATACAGGTTATTATCATTGTAACAGCGCGTAAGCACAAGAAGTGATTAAACCACCGTAAAAACTACCGTACAATGTTTAAAGTTTAGTCCTCTTTTCAGGTACAGTACATGCGTAGCTCCGTTACCGGCATGAAGAGAAACGTATTCTGACGTGTCCTGCCGTGCAAAGCATGTTGGGAAGGGCTGCCGCGATAAGTATGGTTACGGCAAGACGTTTACCACCTACTGCCGCCGCCATTGCTGGTTACGGCAGCAAAGATACAGCAGCTTTGGTGCGACACTTTACAGTACTTCCTCTTTCTTAGTTTAAAGAAATTAAGTCCCAGATTGTTTAGGACCAAAAAAAAAATACTGTACCTTCTCATCCTTTCTTAACGGTTTGAGCGTTTTATATTATAAGGGCAAATCTGACATCTGAAAGAAATGATGCATCTCTGACTGTATGAAAACCACAATCCAATACGGTTTTTTTTTAACAACGGATAAAACCATAAAATAGATATTACTGTAACTTGTAAAATCTTAATAATAAAATAGGAGCACTTTGGCAGTTTGCTGTATTTCCTTTTTTCTGTGCTAACAAAATTATACCACTTTAATTTACCTTTCCTAAGGATGTATGTTCTTATGTTGTACATCTCATCACATGAGCAATTGCTACACGAAGTGTTGTAATTCCCTATTTTCTAGAAAAATGTTTATCATAAAATATGAGCAAAATATAGACATGTCAGTTGTGACACAGCAAAGATAGCTTTCAGGTTTGCTACTTGAAATATTTTTAAAATGGCTTTGGAAGTGACTGGATTTGACTAAAAGTAATGAAAGTGGATTTCAGTACATCAGCTTTCTGGGGATTGTAGGGGTTGAGAAAGAGTGGTCTTCACAGTAAATGGTTCAAAACCTATTGACCAGAGGATTAAAAGTCCAAATGACACATTGTGTACTTTATAATTGATTCTGTTTGTATTCATATTTTACCTTTTAAGAGCAGAATAACCTGTCCTGTACTACCAGTACCTGTTCTGTCTAGTACTCCAGGCCAAATTAAATTCAACATAGGAATCAATTTTCAGGAATTCAAAGCTTTAAGTAATGAAAATAGACTACATGCAAATCAAAGCACTAAGGGGCCTCTCTTTTAAAGATCCTAAGATCTGTACAAATTGTTAAAAACATTGTTGGCCTCTGGTTTTCTTCCAAGGTGTGAGACTGTTTGGCTCAGTCCTCTCCTGTCAGAGGAAACAGTCCACAGAGATAGAGTCCTGGGGAATGGCTGTGTGTTTGGTCAGTGCATCTTTAAATATGTGGGTGTTGCATAAAAAACAGTAAGTAATCCAAAATCATCAGTTCACTCAAATTTGGAGCTGCAGAGTCTTTTTCAAGGTAACACTACAGAATCTGTAAATCAAGGCTGCTAAAAGACATACACCAAGGGCAGCAATACCATACTTAAATATACCCTATGTTACACTATGAAATATTCACTATGTTACAACTGCAGAGTCATTTAGAAAATAGAAAGTCTGCAGTCAAACTACCCATATACACCCACGAAGGCTCCACCACTGTTTTCCTGAAAGCTAAACTGCACATGATACTGGGACTTTTGTTATTCACTATGAATCATCAGGAAATTAAAGTCAAAATGTCAAACACTTTACAGGTTACAATTACTTCCAAAATAGGGGAAAAAGGCCATGCAAATTAAGAAAACACTGAATTTATTATTTGAGAACATACAAAATCAGAAAACAAACAAATATAAAGTGACAAAAATATTTTCAATTTCTCTATTTACACATTTGTGTCACACATGCTGTGATAGGTCATATCCTCAAGCCATTACTGGCACATTTAATAGGGTATAGACAGCAATTAGCATACACAACTGAATAAGAAACCTCATCCATCATAAGCAAAAGAATTTGCACCGTGTTTCACAGATAATAAAAATCCAAGGACTATAAAATATTACTGAGAAGATTCACAAGGTTTCCACTTAAATGAAAGAAGTGAACAACTTTAGTACTGTAAAACAGACAAAGAATAAATACATCTGTATTACACCAGTCCTCTTAATCCACCTCTTCAATGGTGGGCCCCTGGGAGGCATTCCCTGAGCCTGCCCGTGCTTGGCTACCACAGCTTCCTGCTGGCATGCCTCCTGGCATCCCTCCCTGGTACAGCTTGGTGATGATGGGGTTGCACACTTTCTCCAGCTCTTTCAGCTGGTGCTCGTACTCCTCCTTCTCTGCCAGCTGGTTGTTCTCCAGCCAGGCAATGGTTTGGTTGCATTTCTCGACAACTTTCTTCTTGTCCCCCTCGCTGATCTTGCCTTTCATGTTTTCATCCTCCACACTGCTCTTCATGTTGAAGGCGTAGGACTCCAGGGCATTCTTGGCAGCGATCTTCTCCCTCTGGGCATC